CCCCCCCCCCCCCCCCCCCCCGGGTGTAAGTCAAAACCCAGACAGATATTTGGCAAGAATCTCACCCACCAGGCAGGGCATTTCCTGTTTCCGCCCTACCACCCTTCCCCCTTTCTACGCCTTTATCTTTGCAGATATTTATTTAGCACATTTTTGCTAAACATTTCCTTCTAGAGTATTCTTTGGTACCTAAATAACTCCAACTCCCTTCTTTATGTTTCCCATCCATAAGTAATCAGAGGGGGTGTAAACAAAGACACGGGCTACATAGTGATCTATTAGTGATCTATGATGTGTTAGGTTTGTTTTGGGTGTTATTAAAAGGAGGGAGGGCTGGGTAGGTAGGTGGGTGGATGAATTCACACCAACGGGGGGGGGGGGCTGTTTTGAAACCAGCAGATGTTCTATTTCATACTACAAAGGACAGAATGGTAGTTACTCTGTATTTTAATTGATGCAATCAAATAATGTGAATAAGTGAGGCTGTAAATAGAATTTGGGATAGGCTAAGATACAGTTGTATAGTCACTGTCAAGATTCCATCTAGCCAGGCAGTTGTGGCGCATGCCTTTAATCTCAGCACTTAGGAGTAGAGGCAGGCAGATCTCTGTGAGTTTGAAGCCAACCTGGTCTATAGAACAAGAACCAGGTCAGGCTCCAAAACTATACGGAGAAACCTTGTCTCAAAAAACAAAAAGCAAAAAACAAAACAAAAGATGCCCACTCTAATTTTGGACTGTGTAGATAAAACATTATTCTAGGATTCCATGGGCAAGCCTTCTCATTATCTGGATGACTTCAGCATAAAAAAACCCAATAGTTCCCCTTTTACCCATGTGTTCTGCTATTGATTAGTTTTTGATTGATTAGGGCCTTCGGAATATTGATCCTTGATCTATTCTGGATCTTACCTGTTTGTATTAGTTACTTTGCCTACTGTGGAAAGGAAAAGGATGTATTTTGGCTCTTAGAGTCCAATCCCTCCAATCCCTCTTGGTGGAGAGGTCATGGTGGCAAGAGCTTGAAGCAGCCATTTATACTGTATTAACAGTCAGGAAGTGAAGGAAGACCAATGCTGGTACTCAGCTTCTGCCCCCCTTTTTAGTCAGCCTGAAACCCCAGCTCACAGACTAGTGCCATCCACATTTCGTGTGAGCCTTCCCAGCTCAATTAACTAGAAACTCCCTCACAGACATGTTGAGAAGCTTGTTTCCATGGTGATTGTAAATCCCATCAAGTTAATAATCAAGATCAAATCGGCAGCTCTCAGCTGCCTTCTCTTTCCTCTATACAGAAGCTCGTCTGTGACATGGAATCAGAAGAAAACAACACCAACCTGGGCTCCTAGCCCATCAAGGCGTTCTTGCTTGCTGGGTGGGTTATTGCTAGACCCCCTGGATTGCACGGTGAGCCAGGTCATGGAGAGCTTTAGATACTCCTAGGTCTGACTGAACATGGCTATTGATAACCAGCTGCTCCCTTAGTCCTCCATAGACTGAGCTGGTGTGTCAGTCACGTGGACCCCGTTGGTCTACCTGTCTCCCCCTCTCTCCTCATACCCTCTTTCATGTACCCACCAAATATGTAAGAACAAATAACTTTCCGTGGATAAAAGGACTACCTCGTGAACTATGCTGGTGAATAGGGGGGAAGCAAGCCAAACTCGGAGTCTTCTATTGTACTCTCACAACATAGTTCAGCTCTGTAATCCTGACTGTGGGGTGTTTCTCCCAACTAGCACACAAGCAGATTACAGCAGTGCCTGCTGGACATCAAATCCATCCTTATCTGCATGGAGACAGTATCAGACACACAGGCTCAAGCCTGATCAGCCCCGTAAGACTTTCCCAACTTCAGGCCAGTTGCAGAGAAGCTACAAGTTGGAATTTCTGAGGCTGGTTACAGATTTGTAACTGCCCAGGCATCATCTGGCACACTGCTGCCCCCCTGTGCAGAAGTCTGGGCTAGCATCCTGGAAGATGCGAATGAGAGGAAGTGGCCAAGGGCCAGCTGTGTTAGGTCTGCTCAGATGACCCCAGGGGAGGTGGCTGATTTGCCTTGCAGAATACAGTTCAAATCACTGACCCGATGCAGCAGGAGCAAATGAAATGGTTATGCCTGCATGTGAGTAAATGGGGGTGGCTTCAGTTAACTGAGAAAACAGATGTGGAGTTTCCATGACCACACTGTGGTTTTTGTTTTAGGTATAGCAGGCCCCGAGACCTTAGCACAACTAACACCATGTTGGAGGCAACAGTCTCATCTTAGAAGACAGCATGGAGGCCCCAATACCCACCAAAACAGGACCCAGTCCATCAAAGACCTGGTCCGTAGTTTCAGGATCTGGGAAAGTCCCTAAATGTACTAACCTTGCTTTTTGGCTTCTGTAGTCACACTTCTCACTAACTGTTCTTGCTAACTGAAGTGTATTAGCCAGGATACACGTGTGTATTCACCAGGAATATGAAGTTTATTAACCAGGAATATATGTGTACTACCTGCCTGCCTGATGTCCTCACCAGATCTCTTGGGACTGGAGTTACAGATGGTTGTGACCTTCATGTGGGTACCAGGAACTGAACCCAGCTCTTCTGCAAGAACAGCAAGTGTACTTAACCACTGAACATCTCTCCAGAACCCAGGGACCCCAATATTCTACCATTCCTCCCTCTTCATGACATAGTTCCGCATGACTTGGATGAGAGTGGGTGTGTGTAGAGTCTTGGAAGTTTGGGATGCTGTGGACCAGGCCAACCTTGACATTTCTTGTAGTCCAGGTATCATGGGATTCTGAGAGTCATTAGGTCACATACATAATTTAAAAAAATAAAAAAGTTTGACAACCTGAGTTCAGTTCCCAGAATCCACGTGGGAGGTGAGAATGAAGTCTTGCAAGCTGAAGACATCTGCATGTGTCATGGCACGTATATACTTGTGATGTGGGAAGGTCATTGGTTAATTAATAAACTGCTTGGTCTCATAGGTTAGAACATAGGTGGGTGGAGTAAACAGAACAGAATGCTGGGAGGATGAGGAAGTGAGCTGAGTCGCCTTGCTGCTGCTCTCTGGGGCAGACGTGATGAAGCTCCAACCCAGGATGGACGTAGGCTAGAATCTTCCTGGTAAGCGCACCTCGTGGTGCTACACAGATTAATAGAAATGGACCAAGCAGTGTTTATATGAATACAGTTTGTTGTTGTTATTTTGGGGCATAAGCTAGCCAGTGGCTGGGAGCTGGGTGGCAGGAACACAGCCCACAGCTCCTACTACATACTTGCATATACACACGCACCCTACATATATACCAAAAATAAATAATAATAAAAGAATTTATCATCAATCTCCTGAAAAGACCCAAACTAAACAAAAGGATATAAATGAACAGAAGAAACGTAAACAAACCGTTTACTATGAAGAATGAGTGGGGTCTGGAGCATAGCTCAGAGGTAGAGCAGGTCCCTCACACACATAAGGCTCTGGGTTCGATTCCTGTTACCAGCACTGAAAAAATGCAAATGGACAGTAAGGACACCCAGAAATGCTCAGTATCCCTAAATCTACAGCGGGAAACCCAGAGGAGGAGCTCACATGAAGGTCTAACACCAGGTATTGATGAGGATGCAGA